GGTGACCAAGGTGACCAGTTACGGAGTAGCAACAAAAATAATTTTATGGTTGGGAGTTACCACAACATGAAGAACTATATTAAGAGGTTGCGGCATTAGAAAGGTTGAGAAACACTAATCTAGGAGGTGGCAGGATTTGTCCTTGGACCCATCAAAGCTGCCCACTTCTGTTACGCAACAAAAATAAAGGCACAGGATGCTGTCCCTGCTCTTATGAAAATATCCTTTCCTAGGTTTACAAATGTTCACTTGTATAGCCTTGTAAATAAAAAGTGGCAAGTAACCACTTGTACATTTGTTTGAAAGATTTACTATTAAGCCTTTAAAACTCAATTTTTTCATTTCAATAATTGTTTAGTTATTACTGAAGGTTGTAATTCTGAAATTCTTCCCTCTGTCCATTGATCATTTAAAAACACACAATCAGCAGTGCATTCACTTGATTATGGATTGCTGATGCAGCCTTTTTTCACTCAAATCCTGTGTGTGTTTATTTTGACAGAAACAACATTATTTTCAAGCTTGTTGTGCAATATTCACTTGCTAAGATATTCTGCAATGGTGCCCTTAGGTATTTAGCCCCTCAGCAAGACATACTGAGAAATTAATCTTTATAGGTTCTTTGGTTCACGAGCAATACACGTGAAGTGTATGGGAATGAGTCCCTCTTAGGATGCATCTCCACTATAAGTAATGCAGTTTGACACAATTTTAACTGTCACAAGGCTCAGTGCTATGGACTTTAGAGCTATTGTCTGGTGAGGCACCAGCACTATTTTGCAGTCAAAGCTAAAGATCTTGTAAAAATTACAAATCCCATGAGCCATGATAGTTAAAAGTGATCTCAAACTGCAGTAATTCTACAGTATAGATGTACCCTCGTCTTCTCCATTATCCAGGATAAACAAGTTCCAGCGAACAGAATTAACTGATGGGTCAAGTTCAAATAGGTTTTGATTCTCAAGTACCAGTAAGTGTCTGGACTTTCTGTGGGTTTTACGTCAAATTTGGAAGGAAAGTTGAAGTGCTTAGCAGTTCAAAATCATTCCAAAAGAGCAAGGCTATATATGTAGAACCAAATTCAATGGAATTCAGTGGGATTTACTCTCAGGTAAACACATATAGTGTTGCATCCTGCCAGTTTGGAAAATGCTCTGAGTTATTATAGGGATGTAGAAATGGAGACTATGTTATTGCCCTCATACACCTGTTCCCGGACAAGAATGTTTTGTCTCCTGGAGGACTTTTTGTACTGTTATTTGACTAAATTCCAGAAATATTATGTACACTGAAGAAATGAAGAACTGTTTATGCCTTGAGCTCTGATAAATCCAAAAAGCCTTTGAAATGCTAGAAATCAACATTTTTTCCTCTAGTGGAGTCAGGAATTAAAATCTTCTGAGCTTTCATGGATCAGGCTAAAAATGATGATGGCCAATATTTCATTTTTGGCTCAGGATTTAAATCTGGACACGAATGCATAGCCTTATATTCCCAGCATGGGTCCAATGTATTGCATACACTGTTTCATGTGAGTGGAAACAGAAAATGAGAGGAAGACTATCGAGGAAACGGAATCTGAAACAAAACACCAGACCTGTTGATTGCTTCCAGGGCAGATTGGCTGCTGCAGAGCGTAACAGCTGGGACACGGGCCAGTTCAAAGCCAGGTCTGTTTCAATTGGCATGGTCTGTGTATAATCAGCCCTGGTGTTGTTTAGACAAAGATCACCCCTGTTTGAGGAAGAGCATTGGTTTCCCAAATCAGCGTGTTTCTTTTCAAATAAATTCAAGGCACTAAGGAAGTAATGGTTATCAATTCCTTTTCACACAAAACAACTCTATGAGTCAAGAGTGAGCTGTCACCATGATGGCACCAAGGGCAGCATTTGAATTCACCAGCCAAGAGTGTATGAATGAGTTGCTAGAGACAGAAATCCAAGGAGGCAAGCAACCTCTGCCCAAAATGATGTCAGAACACTGATCTCGGAAATGACACACACACACACAGAGACCAAAATTTACAAAACGGATTCTTTCAGAGTTGGGGGTGGAAATAATATTTGGAAAGTAGTCAAAACACATTTCTCAAATGTTAAGAAACCCTGACAAGGAGAAGCTTCACTGTTCAAGATTTATTGGGTGCATCATTTACACATTTTCTTTCTGCTGAAAACAACTTTTTCTGCACAGAAAATGAAACAACAATAATGCTTAATAAGTCTATTTTCTGTTTTCTGCACACACAAAAACAACCACATTCATATTGTGTGTAGAATATGTTCCAACTACTGCATTCTTTGCGCAGGAAACAATATTTTATGTGCAGAAAAGCACGTTTACTTGCAGAAATTAATGCCTCCTGAAGAAAAAAATACTGTTTTTGGGGGGGGGGGGGGTTAACAAATTTTACACAGAATAAGTGCAATACGTTATGCAAGGTACATTATATGACTCACAGCTTAGGAAAATAACCCTTTTGACTACAACTCCTTTTGGAAAAAGCATCCATCATCTTTTGGAAAAGGCATGACTTTTTAGAAAACCAGAATTTCCAAAGCCTTTTGGAAGTGTCACCCTTTTGGAGATTCCAGATACACTACACTGCTCATCTCACCTAGAGTTTTTAAACCTTTCAATTCTTGCAACTGGCTCTGCCCATTGTGTTTCTATTATTGTGATTTTATATTGTATTGTGTGTTTACTTTTTTTGGATTATTATTTTCATTTATTTTATTGATGTATTTTTGTTGTATATTTGCCTTGTTGTAATTGTTGGGCCTGGCCTCATGTAAGGCGCCCCGAATCCCCTTGGGGAGATGGTGACAGGGTATAAATAAAGTTTTTTTAAAATTATTATTAATTGGCATTCACACCATTTGGAACAATCATAACCCTTTTGTAAAGTATGATCTTCCTGAGAAGAGTTAAATACTTGTTTGAGTGAATCTTCTCCTTAGTGGTAAAAATCCACTAGTATTCATGCAAGGCAAATTAGACTTCTCGGTTGCTAGACTGATATACCTGGTTATCACTCTGAGGACCAAGGCAGAGACATCTCCAGCTCATCCCCTGTTTGGGTATCAGCCAGCACGTCAACGACTTAAATCTAGAAATAGTTTTCTAAGATCTACAGAGACACTCGCTGGAACACCTTAGCGAGAGTCCAAAAGTGGCAGGCTCAAACCCAGAACCTCAACCAATGGCTGATATCAAATGAGAGACTCTCCCCTGGGCACACAGAGGACTGGGCGACTTGGAAGGCGCTGAACAGACTGCGCTCTGGCACCACGAGATGCAGAGCCAACCTCAAGAAATGGGGCCACAAAGTGGAATCCACGACATGCGAGTGTGGAGAAAAGCAAACCACTGACCACCTGCTGCAATGCACCCTGAGCCCTGCCACATGCACAATGGAGGACCTTCTTGCAGCAACACCAGAAGCACTCCAAGTGGCCAGATACTGGTCAAAGGACATTTAATCAACTACCAAACTTGCAAATTTTGTGTTTTGTCTGTCTGTTTGTTTTGTTTTGTTAGAAATGTAATACAATTGACTGGTTGCCCTGACACAACAAATAAACTCTGAAGAGAAAAGATTATGCCAATGCATAAAATATATAGCAGATCTATATATTTGCCCAAAAAACATCTACTCTCCCATAAAATATATTGGTTTAAAATCATGCTCTCAAAAGACCAAAAATAAGTTTTGTTTGTTGTTCATTCATTCAGTCGTTTCCAACTTTTTTTGACCTCATGGACAAGCCCACGCCAGAGCTCCCTGTTGGCTGTCACCACCCCCAGCTTCTTCAAGTTCAATCCAGTCACTTCAAGGATGCCATCCATCCATAGTCCTCATTAAAAGTAATATAGTTGGTTTACTTCATGTATTCAGCATACAGGTACAATTGCTTATTAGTTGAAAGGTACAATTGCTTATTAGTTGAAATATTAAACAGTCTGTTTCTTAGGCTTTCAGTCTTTTCTCTGTAGCATACAGACTAATATATAACTTTCTTGAAGCAAACTGACTACTAACAATACACTGACTTCTAAAATAGAGTTTCAGTCTGAATAGTCTCAGATCTGGTCACATGGTCTGTAGTCTCTCCCACAATATAGAGTTAAGGGAAAATTGTATACCAATAAGCAATCACAATTATATACATAACAAATAACTAATATAGGAGGCTTGGAGAAGGTTTCTATTTCCAATAACTCCTAGAATCCCTCAGCACTGTGACAAGCTGGGTGTTTGTGTGTCCAAAAAACCACAACTTTTCCAAGCTTTGTTTGTTTCAGTACAAACAGTTCTTGATATTCCTCATTCTGCTAGTTCACTACATTGAAAAGGTTCTGCTCTTTCCACAAACAAACAAACAAACAAATATGGGACAGTGTGGGGAAAAGTTGCTGTGAAAGCTATTTCTATAATGTGTAGCTATTTCTACAATGTGTAGTTGCCGTTGGAAACTTGTGTGGACCATGTTCTTGTGACTGCTGCATTTAACTTGTAGGTCATTTACGGGATGACCTGAACTTACACTATAGGGTAAACCATGGTTTAAATGTGAGATGACTGATATATGGTCCCATTCCCAAAGCATGCTGAAATATGGTACAAAAAATATAGTGTTGACAAGTCCCTTAAGCATTTGGCAGCATTTGCATTTGCCACTGATCAACAGCACTTCCCCTTGCTTTAATTCTTTATTTTCCATATAATTACTGTATTATCTCTTTTTCTGGACCATTGGACTAGGTTATGTTGGTAGATGGAGCAGCTACAAAGTGGAAGCAGATGCCAAGTTAAACCAATGTCACCCCTGCCTCAAGCTAGGATTGCTCAAGGCCATAAGGGTTTATGCTTGACTCCAAATTCGATTTGAGGGGTTCTGGGGGCAGGTGGAATGTGCTGATTATGCAAATAGGTGGATTTTTAGTTTTCAACATATCTGATGAATATGTAATTTTGTTTCCCTTTCTTCCCTGTTCAGATGTCATTCTACGGGGATCTCCACCAGCAGCAGCCCTCTGATGAGTTTATCTGCCTGAAACTGGCTTCTCTAATAAGATCCCTGATCATCTCAGGGGTTTATGGCAAGCCATTGATATTGCTGGGCTGCCAACCAAGCCACGGGCAGCGGGTGTGTCTAATCCTTAAATACAATAAAGTGGTTTCTTTGCAGATTATGTCAAGTGTGCTAAACACCTCCTTGTTTATTGTTTGCCTGTGTAATGGGGAAGCTGGGGCTTTGTGCAGTGTGAAAAATATTAATTAGTTGCAGTTGCCTATAAATAATGGATTGAGCTAAATCTGTTGTTGACTCAAATAAACACTGGCAAGATACAATCTGCATTTCATGGGGAATTCAGAGGCTGTCACTAGTACCAAAAGTTCAGAACGCCTCGGCAGCATGACTTGCTTGCTTGCCAGGGCAAAGATGGAGGGAACACTCCATCGTTTGCCTCATTTTGCACTTATCCACCATTCGCCTGCTATTCACTAAATAAGTGCTTCTCAAACTTAGGTGTGTTTTGGACTTCTATTCTAAGACAGCTGAGTCAATTTCAAGATTTCTAGGAGCTGACATTCCAAGCATCTTAGGCCCCATGTACAAGCCCCATCTACTAGTCATGGGTCTGAAATTTGTCCCATCCATTTGATTTATGTTTCCGTTTCATTCTGTTCATTCAGATAGCATGAAACGAGAAGGTCCCTCCTGGAATGAAAATGGACTCAAAACAAAAGGCATCTGATTTCAGAGTGAAACAAATGGTCTACTTACAGCGGTGCCTTGGAGAACTTTCAAAGGAGCTGGGGATGTCAGACGTATGCAATTGGATCTTGCCTGTCTTTTTTAGTCTTACTGTAAAGAAATCATGGTTTAAAAACTCATAATGAGGGATCAGACCAAGTGATCTTTTAAGAAAGGCATATGCCTTTTAAGAAAGGCAAAGGTGAGACTTCAATTTCAAAACTTTTTCAATTAAGAAAAATCTAATTTTTATTTTCCTTCTGAAACAAAACAAAGCCAAATGGAATCTGGGTCAGAACAATTGTATGCAACTGAAAAATTGGCTGACAATTTTCTGTTTCAATAATGCACACAAGCATGATTTGAGTACTGAGTGGAAAATATATACATTTCCAGAGGATGTCGAAACATGCACAAGGTTTCTATATAGAAAGCTGCGTCTTAATGAGTCAGACCATTAGTCTACCTAGCTCAGATTTTCAGTTCTATTTGGAAATGCCAGGAATTGAACTTCAGGCTTTTTGTATGCAGAGCACATTCTCTACTGGAAAGCTATGGCCTTGATCAGAAAACAATGCAGACAAGCACTGGGGAAATATGGAACAGCCTGGAATGTTGCAGCTGAGTGAAAAGTACAGCTGAGGACTTAAGATAATAATATTAAAAGCTTGTGTTTCCCCACTTTTACATCTCTCTCTTAAGCTACTGAAGTTCAATACATCCTTCTTCTACCACCCTCTCAATGAAATGAGTGTGATGTATTAACACAAAAGTTTCAAGCGGTCATAGTCTGGATCCAATCTATTTGTTTGTTCTTCATGGAAAGAACAGCTTTGGTTCAGGGATTTCCAGCTGGTAAAACTTTCACTCTGTAAATTCAGTCTGAAACAAATGGGCTACTTGCAGCGGTGCCTTGGAGAACTTTCAAAGGAGCTGGGGATGTCAGACGTATGCAATTTGCAGGGGGCTACAACAGCATGTAAAGATCTGGAGAGGAAAGGAGAAGAGGGGGCATCTGGAGGTGGGGAGGGGGCCCACACATAGAAATGAAAATTTGCTCCAGTTTCATCATTCTTATGCTGCAATAAATTGAGGCTGAGTTGGTGGTCCGACTGGGTGAGGAACCCAGTTGAAATCTCTATGCTTCTGCAACCACAAACAGACCATGAATGAAACTCTTACCACGTGGAAGGACAAGGCACAGAGTTTCAAATAATTATCTAGAAACCTCTTCCACTGCACAGACAGCCCCGTTGTTGTTTATTCATTCAGTCGCTTCTGACTCTTTGTGACCTCATGGAACATGGCCATATAGCCCAAAAAACTCACAACAACCCAATCTTGAATGAATCACACATTTACATTCCAAGAAAATCCAACAATAGTTTCGCCTTAGGACTTCCATAAGTTGGAAATGACTTTGAGGCACATAATAACAAAGAAGTATTTTTCTTTGATATTTGTTCATCTATACAGTTTTCTAAAGGACCTGAACTATATACTGCCATATAGATTATATGCCTAGTTATATGTTGTTGATTTGAATTTTGGTTTATGTATGTATGGCATTTAATTTTGCCGTTATTTTTGTGTAAACCACTTTGAGTCCCCCCTCCCCCCCAGGGGTGAGAAAAGCGGTATATAAATACTGTAAATAAATAAATAAATACATTCTGGCCTAGATAATATTTAATCCTAGAGAAGCATGAAGGTCTTTCAGTGAAGTTGCACAGGTGGTCTGATAGGATAGAAAAGGGTAGTCCAAGTTGGAAGGTGTCAGCATGATATATTCCCCAGTATCCACCAGCTAATCAGTGGCTATTTCAGTTGTGGAAGAGCAGAACTGAAACCAGCACCATCTAGTTGCCATTGCTCATTGCAGGGCACTGTTCAAGGAGGGACTGGATTACCATTATGTTCCCTATCACTCAGAGTATTTATGGATGGACAAAAGTATGTTATTTCTTGAAATCAACCCCACTTAATGTTAACCTCTGTTCTGACAAGGGACTTAAAAATCATCATCAGCAAGACTTTGCCTCAATGAAGCTGTAAACAGATTTAGAAGGTCTCGTCAGAGCTCTACTTGATGGATGGATTAAATAAACTGTGGCAAACTCCTGCTTCGGTCATATGCTAGTTTTGCAAAAAGCTTAAATAGTTTCTAGCTTTTTGACAAAGAGGATAGATCTGAAGAGATATTAATTTGGTATAGACACGTAGTAAACATGTCCTAAATGTTTGAGTATTATATTTAAATTTCTAAGTCTGTTATTTTTGAGTTGTTCTATAAGTACACCAGATGTTGTTTATTTTACTGTTTATGATTTGATCTGCTCATTCTGTTATGCTGGCATTGAATGTTTGCCAAATTTTCTGTTGTAAACTGCCCCGAGTCCCCTCAGGGAGATAGGGCGGTATAGAAATAAAGTTTATTATTATTTATTATTACTATAGACACATATAAACCACATCCTTAAGTGAAATTTGCTATATGTATAACTATGATACCTTGCAGCTGCCTGATAATTAAGTCAGAGACAAAGAATCCGAATCTGGACGTTTTTGGAAAAGAGGAACACCAGGTTTTTGTGTTTCAGGTGGTTCTTACTTTAGAAAAACAATAAAACCCCAAAGTTTTAATGAAAGATCAGCTTTAAACATCCGTAATCTGGCCAGACAAGAGCAGGTTGAGGATAATGTTTGATGTGAAATCAAGGTCGTGCCCTGAAAATCAGAGACAGATTTTGAGAGGGGTGTATGTGAGCCATTAGAAATGAAAAAGAAACCTGAGACAAGCATACTCCAGAGCTGCCAAGCTCTCTGCTTTGCTCTGCTCCTCTTCCATGAACATTCAAATCCCTGTTTTTTTCTCCCAAAACCTTGTTATTTATCAGAGTAAAGGGTAATCCCAAATAGATAACAAATCAGGTCCATTTAACCATGAACCTAGGTTGTGTGTGGAAAGTTCATATTTTTTTAAAGTGCAATTCTTAAAACAGATGCAATGAGCAGACAATAGCAGGTTAAAAAAAGGAAGAGCAGCAGTAATTCATAGTTCCTTTCCCTACTTTCATCTCTGGGCAAGTAGAACAACATCTGGCATGGAAAGGGTAAATCAGAAAATGGGTGATGATGCGGACTCTACTTGGAGTCTGGCTTCTGGTCTGAATTTATCCCCTGCCCCTAAGATGTGAGCTCCCCACCTCTAGCATTCCAACAGAAGAATCATCCAACCAGAGCAGAGGTAACATTCAGTTCCTGGAAACTGAAACATGCAATTTGTGGGCCAGCTTAATGAATCTGTAGGTGCATCTGTACTGTAGAATTAATGCAGTTTGGCACCACTTTAACTGTTATGGCTTGATGCTATGGAATGCTAGGAGTTGTAGTTTGATGAGGCACCAGCACTCTTTGACAGAGAAGATTAAAGACCTTGTGTAACTACAGCTCCAATGATTCAATAGTATTGAGCCACAGTAGTTGAAGTGGTGTTACATTATATTAATTCTACAATATGTCCCCTCCGTCTCCAGGACTGCTATTGGCTTTAAACACTTTTTAACATTGCACATAGATTGGTCATATATACTCTTTTGCAAAGGACACTCCTCTATTGGAAGGCTTCCTCTATGCCAAAGGAAGTTAAGTCCAAGACCAGTTTAAGCAGAAGGCTTAGGTAAAGGTTTCCCCTGACATTCAGTCTAATTGTGTCTGACTCTGGGCGATGGTGGTCATCTCCATTTCTAAGCCGAAGAGCCGGCATATCCGTAGACAACTCCAAGGTCATGTGGCTAGCATGACTGCATGGAGCGCCATTACCTTTCTGTAGAAGTGGTACCTAATGATCTATTCATGTAGGCATGTTTTCAAACTTCTAGGTTGGTAGAAGCTGGGGCTAACTGCGAGAGCTCACCCTGCTCCCTGGATTCGAATTGCCAACCTTTTGGTCAGCAAGTTCAGTAGCTCAGTGGTTTAACCTGCTGCAGCACCAGGGGCCCCCAGTTTAAGCATACATGACTATAATATGAGAAAGTAATGGATGCCTTGAATTTGCCTGTTAACTTAATCACAGTCTTTCTATTTGATGACTGAGACAATTTAAACCAGGGGTTCACAAACTTTTTAAACAGAGGGCCAGGTCACAATCCCTCAGACTGTTGGCGGGCCAGATTATAATTCGAAAAAAATCATGCACACTTCAAATATCTTATTTGTAGTGCAAAAAACATTTTAAAACAATACAATTTTAACAAATATAAACTTATTAGTATTTCAATGGAAAGTGTGGCCCTGCTTTTGGCTGATGAGATAGGATTGTTGTTGTTATTGTGTGCTTTCAAATAGTTTCAGACTTAGCTTGACCCAGAGTGAGGGCCGGGTAAATGACCTTGGAGGGCCGCATCCGGCCCCC